AGAAACTTTCCATCACCATGATCCTCACCATCCTACATGTAAATCCATTTCTTCTGCTCAGTAACACCAAGCTTGAAACATACAGCAACACAAACTAGAGCAAATCTAATGAAATCCAAAGACAGAGCAGAATTTTATATCAACATTAGTTACTCCTAATTTAAAGAAAAACAGAAGTCAATGGTATTGAACTGATATTCACATCTAGTGCATAACTACAAAGATGTCAGAGAAAAGGTATTTTCTTAATCCTTTATTCTTAGTCCTGCTGTCAAGCAATGCCTTGTTTTCACTAGACCAAACTAAAGCAGGGAACCTTTTGATTCCAAAACCAGAACAATCCAAAGGGGAAGAAAAGGAGATAATATAAATTTTTTCCCTTAGATTTTGGAAGAACATCACATTGAAGTTCCACTGCTTATTCAAGAACCATGAAACGGTTTGGGTTGAAAGGCACCTTTAAACATCACCTAGTAACCACCCCTCTGCCACAGACAAACATCTTGCACTAGATCAGGATGCTCAAAGAGCCATCCAGCCTGGCCTTGAACACTGCTAGAAATGGAGCTACACACACAACTTCTCTGGTTAACCTGTTTCAATGCCTCACCACCCACCGAAGTAATGAATTCCTTCTTTATAACCAATTTAAATCCATCCTCTTTCCATTTAAAATTTATGTCCTTTGTCCTGCCACTACAGGCCTTTGTATAAAGTCTCTCTCCATCTTCCTCATAATCCCCCTTCTTTACACACTGAATGAAAGCCTCAATAAGATCACCCTGGAACCTTCTCTTCTCCAGGCTGAACAACCCCAACTCTCTCAGCTATAGGAGAGGTGTTCCATCACTGATCACTTCTGAGGCCCTCCCTGGATCTGCTCCAATAACTGCAGGTCTTTCTTGTGCTGGATGCCACAGAGCTGGATGCAGTGCCCCAGGTAAGAGCCATCAGAGAACAGAACAGAGAGTGAGAATCACCTGCTTCTTTTTACAAGTTCAGGATACTTCTGGCAAAGAAAGCAGTGAAATTTTGGAGAGAAAGAGACACCAACTCTGGCAAAAATTTACATATGACTCTACACCCATTCCTTGAAGTGAAAAATGAAATGACTGTTTTTCTATTTTCACAGTAGCCTTCATTAATTTTTCTAAGGTTCATAGTTAAAGAAGGAGTTGAAAAACACTACATTAAATAAAGTGGAATGTAATCAATGTTTGGTTCAGTTAAAAAAACATGTATTTGACTTGTATCATTTATAAGAAAAGGTAAGGCAGCAACAGGAAGAGGTTCTCTCTTGTGACATCAGAGGTTCTGTGGGTAAAGAGAAAACTGACAGAGAACTACCCACTGGGACACAGATAATTTCCTAAAGCAGTGCTCTTTCCAGAAGCTGGGATAACACAAGGAGTGTTTAAATCTGTGGTTACATTAAAGGCTACAAGTTACAGCACTATAGCAGGGCACATCAGCTCAGAGCAATTTTATTACCAAGTCATTTAGTCATGTCTGTAACAGGTCTGGACTGCAGCACTGTAGAAACATGAACAGCCAATCTGTTCCTGTTCTAGCGGTTCTTCTACTGAAAAACCTACAACTCCTACAATAAAACAGCAAGTTACTCATGTGGACAAGCTCAACATGTCTCTGTAATTTTTCCAATAATTATATTTTCTTACTGAAAATTCTCCTTTATCAAGCAAGGGAAACTCGATGGTCTCCAGAACAAACCAAAAAAATAGCTGTTTAAGTTTGCATGCCGAATAGATTATAATTTGTAACCAGACCTCTAAATGCTGGTTCCAGCAACCACTTTTTACATGGAGATAAGCTTGAAAAATACAGTTAACTAAAACTTTCCTATTAGTGTACTCTTACCTAAAAAACATGCTAGCACCTAAGTATTCTATTTAAAATGAGATCATGCATTCCTAAAGCACATGCAGAACTTCCAAGGCCAAATTTTCCATACTCTTCTTTCTTCCAGGTCTGTGCAACGGGAAGACTGCACCAAGCTGCAGGGTGCTATGACTGCCTGTGCACATCCTCCTGATATCCCATCCAAGTGGGACATCTGCCCTGTTTTCCTTCTGATGCCTGTTGGATAGCACAGGAAGTACAACAGCAGAGTTGGTAACACACTGACCTCTCACTAGGAAATTCCTCACTTCAAGCTCATAATACAAATTTTTTATGTTGAGAGTGGTGTAAGTGCAAGAGGAGCATCTTTACAGCTGTTTAATTCACTAGAATTTTGATTAACTAAAAAAAAAAAATCAAACTTCCGTGGCAAGAGAAAAGATTCCAAAAGATTCCAGGTATTTCCAATCCATGCAACCACTGGCATCTGGGATATGACTCATCATTAAGTTAGGCCCAAATGAAATAATTGTAACTACACAAAACTAGGCACTATCTAAGAACCACAACAGATGAAAAGCAGTACTCCGAGATGTTAACACACAAGTTGTAGGATAATACTTCTTAAGCTGAGTACCTGAGAACTTTCTCTAAGGATTCACTATTGTTTTCATAATAATACATCTAAAATCCAAGAGCTTGCACCCAGACTACAAATAAGCTAAATCAAAAAAGAGGCACCCTCAAAGCAGTATCCAAATGAGGGTGTGCATCCATTTATCTTAAATGAATTTAGGTTATTTAATAAAGCAATAAAGCAATGTGATTTTCTCATGTCAATGGTTTGAGCAACAGGCCCAAGTTTTAATGCCAGTTCAAACCAGCATACAAAGGAGCAAGGTGGAAGAAGAATCAATTTGCTAAACCACCACCACTGCTTTGTCAGCCAAACACACATGCTTAATTTAGGTGACCAACCTAAGACTATTTTCTATGTGATCCCTGGATAAGCAATGGAAAGTTTCCTCCAGAGACGTTGTTAATGCAAGGCACTGAACTGGGATTCTGAGTCAGGTGCACAAATTAATCCTGAGATCAAATATGCTCACCATGCCTTCATGGGGCAAGTGTGTCCAGTGCTGAAACTGCACCTCAAACGTGGTCATGAGGTGACTTTGAAATGCAACCAATCTTAAGAACCAAAGCAACTAAGACAGACACAAAATAAGAAGAATACTTGGACAACAAATACTGAAAACAAGAAGCTACAGAGCAGATGGAAAAGACTTCTTTCTAGTCAAGTCACCATCAGAAACACAAAGTGCTGATGCCACACAGACACGTAATCATCAACATACAACATTACAGCAGTTCACTGTGAGTAAAAACTATGTACTGTGGTATCTGCATAGTATCTTGCTACTTCCCCAAAGAGGAGGCATCCCAAATACACTCCATTTCAACTAAGCACTAATTCACAATATGGTATTACAAACATTATTTAGCCTAATTCAAGCTATGTAGCCACCAGATATGTCTGGCCCCATGGACTATTCCTCCCAGTCCTGCCAAAAGGATTTCCAATAGAGAATTTTTGCTCCCTGAGTAGCATCAGGGCATGTGTCTGTACTAGGGCTGAGGTACGTGATTATATATGAACACATATACCAAGGGAAAAGTTGCTGAAGAAGTCAGTAAAAAATCAAAACAAAATAAGGTAAAACAAGTAATTAATCTCCGTCCTTTCAGTGTTTAACTCTATGCCAGCTGAAACCAGAACACAAGTATTCAGATAACCTAGGGTAAAATTCCTTTCTCCTCAAAGGCATAGCTACAGGATTTAAATACGAAGTGGGGGAGACAGCATATGAATCTACAGAGAAAAGGAGTATGGGCAAAGAAAAAAAAGAGTATTAGGTGAGATCACAAAGAAGGTTTTAATGACAGGAAAGTAAGATCAGAAGGGAAAAAAAACATGAAGAAGGAAATGGTTACTGGGCAGAAGAAAACTGGAAGGGGAAAGGTAACAGAGGGGTAATGACAGTGCTGGAATATAACTTCAAAAGGAAACAAGAAGGATGAGGAAAGGATTCCAATCAGGACACACTTAGCTTGCATTGGCAAAGTTACTGGGAAACAAATGAGCTGGTTATTTGAAACAAAAATTGCAAGACTAGTCACCTGGATGGAGACAATAAGTACACAAACAGACAAACAAAAGGTTACGGGGGCACCTTCTCTGCTAAGGCCACAACAGTAGGTGGCAACAAGGGGAAGCCTGGCGCACACTCCGTGAGAGCAAGAGAAACCTAGAGAAGTTGACCGAGATGAACTATGGCAAAAATCCCCCAGCCACATTGGTACTGAGAGCACTAGGGAATGTCTCTAGGTACAACCAAAAAGCTCCTAGACAGACCTGAGTATCACTAGGGCTCTGGGGATTGCTGGCATGAACAGGGTGAAACGAAGCAGCACAGGAAAGGACAGGGAGGACAGAGTGCAGGTGAACTCCCCAGAACAGTGCCCGGTGAGGTTACGGACAAAAGCTCACAGGGAAAAAAGAGGGCAGAGGCGTGGGAGGAGCAGGGCCTGGGATGGCTGGGGTAGGCAGTCCCGGGGCCGAGGGGGGCACAGCGAGGGCTGCGGGAGGACGGGCCCGAGGTCTGAGAGCCGCCGGGGCGGGACGGAAAGGCTGGGGCAGCCACCGAGGCGCCCTGGCCATGCGGGGGCCGCGGTCACGGGGGAAGGACGGGGACGAAGGGAGGGAGCGGGCAGCCCCCCGGCGGCCGGGCAGATCCTGCGGGCCCGGGCAGCCAGCGGGGCGCTCCCGCACCCCGACGGGGGCGAAGCGTTCCGAGTGCGCAGCTCGCGGCCTCCCCGCTCCGGCCCGGCCCGCGGCTCCGGGGCCGGATCCACGAGCGGGCCGGGCAGCCACCACCGCCGCCCCCGCGCTCCGGGGCCGGCAGCGCGCCCGGGAGAAGAAAGGCGGGCGGGCGGGCCGGGCCCGACCGCCCCTTCCCCCGTTCCCCGCGGCGTGACTCAGTGCCGGGCCCCGCGCCGCCGCCTTCGCGTCCTGCCGGGCCTGGCCGGGCCGGGCCAGGCCTCGCTGCGACACAACGCCGCGGCCTCCCTGCACTCACCAGCATCGCGCGTCCCGCAGAGTCAGGGCCACGTCCGCCCGCCCCTTCCGCCTCCGCCGGGCCCGGATCCGCCGCCGCCGCCTCCCCCCGGCGCGGCCCGGGGATCGCGGAGGCGCCGCCCCTCGCAGCCGCCCCGCCCCGGCTCACGGCGGGCGGGGAACCGGGGCTGCGGCTGCCCGCGCCGGCAGGCCCCGGTGGGGCTGGGCCTCGGCCTCGGCCTCCGGCGGAGCCTCCCCGCCCGCATGAGCCCCTCGGCGGGAGAGGCCGGCCGGCTGGCCGCCATCTCCTTGGCTGCCAGGCCCTGCCCTGCCCTGCCCTGCCCTGCCCTGCCCTGCCCGAGGGGTCGTTGCTCCGACCCCTCCCCAAGTTAGTCCAGTGCCAGAAGAGCTGAAGGATAAGCTGAAAGACTTGGGAGTGATGGTTGATGAAAAACTCAACGTGAGCCGGCAGGTGTGCGCTCGCAAGCCAAAAAGCCAATCGAACCTGGGCTGCATCAAAAGCAGAAATGGGCCGGCAGGGCGAGGGAGGTAATTCTGGCCCTGTACTCTTTGATGAGACCCCAGCTGGAGTGCGGTGTACAGTTGTGGTGTCCCCAACATCAGAAGGACATGCAGCTGTTGGAGCAAGCTGAAAGGAGGCCTCGAAGCTGATAAAAGGACTGGAACACCTGCCCCATGAACACTGGCTGAGAAAGCTGCGGCTGTTCAGCCTGGAGAAGAGGAGGTCGTGTGGAGACCTCAGCAACCTTCCAGTATCTGAAGAATCCTAGAGGAAAGCTGGAGAGGGGCTCTTTGTCAGGAACTGTAGTGATAAGACACAGAGTAATTAGATACAAATTCAACTAGGCAATTTTAAGTTAGATATTTGGAAGAAGTTCTTTACTGTGAGCATGGTGAGGTGCTGGAACAAGGGAGTAAGTTGTCCAGGGAGGTTGTGGATGCCCCAGTGTTTAAGGCCAGGGAAGTGTCCCTGCACATGTCAGGGGGTGTTGAGACTAGATGATCTTTTAGGTCCATTCCAAACCCTTAACATTCCATGTGTTTCAGGATGACATTAGACATGGTAAGACTTTCCTCCATCCATAGCTAAGCAGCTGCTTCTGTATTTATGAGAAACGCAGGTTTCTAAAGTGTCCTGGACACAGTGAATGGCACCACACCAAGTCTGGGAGCCCAAATGGATGGTACAGTTGTGAGTTAACAGTGTGTCTTTGTCAAGTGAGTGTTTAACCAAACTGCGAAGCTCCTCTGACTTACTCACATCAGGAATCATTGCCTCTAAGTGCATGAACATTGTCTTGAAAACTTTGATTAAAGTGTGGCTTTTGTAAGAGCATAGAAATCTTTCTGTGACTTTCAGAGTAGTAAGAAGACAACTTGGAAACAACACTGCAGAGAGAAGACGAAGGTAGAAATTGAAAGAAAGGAAATGACATTCTTCAGCTGAGAGCTGCTTGGAAGATGTGTGATGGTATTTGGTCTGATTTATTGAGGGATACGGAGTTACATGGACCTGTTTGTAATCTGCAAACAAGTTAAAGCAGAGCTGCCTACTAGATAACTTTAATGTTTGATAATAAAACATAAACCTCCTAGCAAATTTGCATCACTTATATGTGGATTGGAAGTGGGGCAGTTATTTTTTCTTTCTAAGAGTAAGAAATTGATGATACAAAATAATACCGAAATTAGGACAGGTTTCAGAAAAGTATTTTGGAGTCACTTCTGTCTTTTAATTCCTGAAGACTGGAATTATATTGCTGGAGCAGTGTTGTGAAGAAAAAAAAGTCAACCAAAGAATGTGAATGTACTTATCCATTATACTAGTATCAAGAGTTAAACCTGTGAAATTCAGTAGCTTCATGTGAAAGGAAGGAGAAATGGGGAAGCAATAGGAAGAAACAGAAGATCTTCCTGGGAAAGGAAAGAGAAATGGGGAAGCAATAGGAAGAAGCAGAAGATTTCTTTTCTTTGCAAAATGCTTCACTTGCATTCTGGTTCTACCTGCTGTTCGCCTTTTCTGAAAATTTGCCTTCTCAAAGCTAATGCTCCTTAGTCATGTTGGTGCTGGAAAAATTATTTCCCTGTGTAATAATGCTTTCCCATGGCCCAGCCTACTGAAGTGGACACAAGCAAAGGCAGTGACAAAGCTCTTCCAATGAGACAGTGCTGACTAAGGAGCACTGTCTGAGGAACTGGTTTAATGTGTAGCAGGGACACTGTCTCAGTCAGCTGGGTGGCATCATGACGCTTACATTTTGCTTATGTAGGTGTACTTTGCAAATACCATTCCTGGGCATGACTAAATTTTTGGTTTGCTGACATACATGAGTTGTAGTAGAGGACAGTTTGTGTGAGTTGGCGTCAGCGTGGCTAGTTCTGCATGGTGTGCTCAACACTGGGACAGTGAGGGCAAACAGAATAGTCTGTGGGGGACAGGAACCAAATCCAAAGGAGGGTGGTCTGATCAAGAAAAATAAGAACTGATTTTTCAGTCTTGGAAAGCTATGTTTTGGTACTGTATTTTACAGCAATTGTCTTTGCAAGAGGTAAAGGCATCATTGTTTTAAAGCCTAAAACAAGGGGACACTAGAGCTATAGATAGCAAGAAAACTGAAAGAGAAATGACAGGAAGGGAACAAACTAAGGGGAGAAGGAAGACCTGAATTGGCACCATCTTGCACTAAACTGTATTTTTTTTTAGGCTTGTGATTAACTGCAGTACAAGCCTGAGTTTTGACAGTTTGGAGTATCAAAATTTGTTTATCTTTTTCCCCAGGGCTGCATTATGATTTGTGCTCACTTTATAGAGGCAAGGCACAGTTCTCTGATTTTATTCATGGTAGTGGTAGCTGAGTTGACACTCTGAAAAGGTAGGCCATCAAAAAAGCTTCACTAGACAATTTGGACATGATGCATAACATGGCTCCTTCATACATCCATTGAAAGAATTCCAACAGCAGGGTAAGTGATCACAGAGAGAAAAGGGAGCTGAATGCAGGGAATTGAATGCCAAAATACCTGTTACCAAATTACTCATAGCAGAATGGCTCATGCATTTTAAATTGTCCAATGGAATTTATGTACTTTGCGTGAAAGGAGAGAAGTTTCCCCTAGAGACTGAGGCAGCCAGAATTTCAAAGAAAGACTTCATGAGAGAAGTCTTTTTTTTTTGTACTAAAATGAATTTGCAGTGCTGCTGAGAGGGGCCTGTTTTCCAAATAACTTGCAGGTCTCACACTTGTTGCATCAGCAGTGAATCAGCATACACTAAGCAAGAAAATTATCCTGACAATGTTTGCTGTCAGTTTAAGTAGGTAGCTCCCTCAGCAAAGAAGAAAAGCCTGAGTCATTCAAAGACACAGAGTGGCAGCAGCTGCTAGTTTATTATTACTGTCAGGAGTCTGAGCTGATTTGGGGGGATACTTTCCCTGCTATCATGTGCAGTGATGGTCTGAAAACAGTAATTAATTATATCACCCCCTCCATGCAGCCAGGAGGACAGGCTTGGTATAGGCAGGATAGATGACAACCAGATTTGGTAAAGGTTTCCTGGCTGTACTGAACATCTCTTGCTTTTTCTGGCAGATTTGTTTTCCTTGGTGTTTTGGTAAAGAATGTTTGGCTAAGCTCCTAAGTGGTAGTTCCCCATTTAAATGCTTCATTCCTGGTTTTGAGTTGAGCCCAGTGTGCTCCCCTAGCTCTGACAGCCTCTGTTTTGGAGCTAGTGAGAGGCTGCAGGCATGTTTTTCCTCTTACTGTTTCTTGAAAGGGTTGCAAACTAAGATACAGGAAATAAAAAACAACATGTTTGGGAAAGGGATATATAGTTCTGTACACTATATGAGCACACTACCAATTTCTTCAGCTTTTTTGTTGAGTAGAAAATTTGAGTTTCAGGATTTTCCATGATTGCTTGTAAATCAGTCTTGGGCTCAGTCTGTCATGCACATTTGTATAAAGTAACTGAGAAGAGATGTCTTCTGTACTTCCAAATTCAAAGGTGCCCAAAAGAATCTGTGAATGACAGATGATATTCTACTGCTCTGCTGCTTCTTGTGCTGTGAACCTTTGTGGGAAGGTGGAAAACATTTTGCAGAGATCAAATTGTTCTTCACAAAGGCCAGTCCCTGCATGTGTCAGAAAGGTAGTGCCAGGCTCCTGTATGGAATAACAAGGCAGCCTAGGAGCGTTCACAAACATGGCAACCTTTGGTTAATCCGCTCCTTTTATAAGCACAGGTCAATGTTTTTGTTGTCAAGCACTCTGGTTGTATCACCAGCAGGAACAACACAATGTGTGTACAAATGTGTGTATAGAGGGCACACGACCAGCTCTCCTCAAGCCTTCTGTTTTTTTCTCTTCTCTGACATGTCTGTCACCTGGATGATTGATTTTTTTAGGGGTTTACAGCAGTCTGAATTCCAGCATTAGAGCAGAGAAGACAAACAGAGGAAAGACAAGTTGAGTTAGAAAGAAGCTACAACCATATTTTGCTCCCGTGAGCACTTTGGCCTAATCACTTCCAACAGTTCTGACCTCAAATTGGGATGTGGAGATATTATGCTCAATAGGATCACAAGAAGTGAAGCATCATTGCCCATTCAGAGCAAAGAATATTAATGTCTCTTTGGGCAGAAGGTGAGCAAATAGTCACCTTGTTCTCAACTTCAGGATATTTAAATTCCAAAACGGAGAGTATTTGTTCATACATCTAAAGGCACACATGTGCTCTGGGAATTCATAATAGAAAGATGATGGTAGTTTTGTTGGTTGGTTGCTTAGGTTTTTGTTGTTGTTGTTGTTGTTGTCTTGTTTTTTTATTTACAGCAATTTCTAGACTACAAGCTTTAATTAAAAATAGTGTCCTACTAATGCCTCTGCTATCTACTGTGGCAAATAATGCACTGATCCACTGCCTTTTCTTTTTCCATCCTGTCCTTCATTGGGCTGAAGATTTCTCTTGGGCCTGAGATCCAAGACTTGGCATTGGTTTAACTCGTTAAAGCTCTTTCTTTGTAGGAGTTTTTACAGACTGAAAGACAACCTTGG